CGCGCAGGGGCCCCCGTCACGGCCTAAAGGGGGACGCCGCTGAGGGGGGGAGGGGCCGCCTGACGTCAGCGGGAGGGTCCTGGAGGGGGGGAGGGCGGAGGTAGCCGGGGGGTTGGCACGGGCCGTGGACCGCCCTCGTTGGAGGGGCTGCCGCGGTTGGGGAAGGGGGGAGGGGGGTGGCTTATGGTCCTCCTTGAGCGCATTGACTCGATGGCGTATGATAGGTTACTGAAGATGATTAAATAGGGGAGGGGGAAGTGTGACAAGGAAATTCAGATACTGAGAAAGAAATAATGAGGTTGGTGTAGAGGCTGAAACTCTGTCCCGTATGATGAGGACAGCCCTATACTTTTTTTTTGAGTACTATCGGATTAACTCTCTTTCATTTAACACCATTTTCGTCGTTATCAGGACCAAAAAGACTTCAAAAAAAAAAGTATGTGCTTCCTATAGCAACTGATAGGCAGAAGGATTGGTATTGCCATCAAGTCTGGAAAAGCTACAACCGGGTCTTTTCTCTTGAGCAGTCAATAAAGAGGAAGTGTAGAGACGGCACATAATGGTTCTTCTTTACTCCTCCTCTTCCCCTGGAAATGCACACACAGACCTATCAAGAAGATAAAGAATATACGCTTTTTGTTACACACCGTTATTGCTGTTGCCTGCCTGCTTCATTTAAATAACATGTCCTCTCATGTTTTGAAAAAAAAACGAAAGGTTTTTTGTTAATCACTAAATTGCATCCACCTCATCTAATGGTGAAGTGCGTAGAACCTCAAAGCACCTCGCTAAGTCCACATCCTTCATTAATTTCCACGCTAACGCACACGCACTAATTTTGGTGGTCACATCGGCCTCCCGAATGTCATGGTACCCTTCAATAAGTCCAGCTTCATTGATATTATGACCTTCTTCAGAACGGTTGATTCGCAGCGCGGTGGGCAAATCCACAACACCGTGAAAAAGCGCGAGCGGCAATATCAGACTGCTCGTGAATTGTGTAGCCACACAAAGGGCCACAATTTGGTATGGATTCATTGACCAGGAAAGCAAGTGATCCCGGACTTTCAGGACATCGTTTGGGGAGATATGGGGGTCGCCGATGCCCACGACGATCGGGACATCGATTTCGAAGACTCGAGAGAACCACTCGGTCACGGGTGAAATTAGTTTGTTCTGCATCGCCGCGATTGGCGCGCTTCGGAAGTACATGTTGTCGTTTTGATAAAACGACATAAGGTAGTCAATTCGCGGGGAGATCATCTGCGGTGCGATGTGTTGAACCCCACTACAAATATCCGTCATGGGCATGAGAAGTTTGTTGAGGTACTCGCTTTGCTCCGAGTACTCCTTCGCGCAGCAATAGGCCATCTCCTCGTTTGGGACCGCGAGAATTTGCGTCGACTCGAAGGCACGCACTTTTCGGCCATCAAGAAGAATGCTATACCAGCCTTCGTACTTCTCCAAGGGCTGCACGTCGACATCCTTCCAAAACACCCGTACCGCGGACTGCTGGCGCGTCCGGAGGGAGACATCCATCTGGTAAATCGAATCCTCGGCCAACACGCGGCTGCTTTCCACCTCTTTTGCCTCGAATTCCTTCACCGCGGCCTCGAGCTCGTTCGGGTTCATTTTAGACCAATCCTCAACTTTACGCCTAAACTTCGCCATGGAGGTTTCGGCGTGGGCACCGGGATCGCGGGGGAGGGCATCGGGGTTTATGGCGTGCAAATTGGGTTTGATGTGCCGCTTGGGTCGTTTGGGCATGATTTGAGGGGTTAAAGTATTCGGTGATAACTCATCGGGGCGGTTTTGGGGGGGAGGGGAAGTCGTCGACGTGTTGGGTCGACGGCTGGTGTGCAAACTGAGGGAGGACAGGGCGATAGACGGGCCTCGACTTGGGCTGCCCACACGCATGGCGGCAATCGACCAAACCGGCCCAGCTCTTCGCATGAAAGCGTGCAGCATTTGGATACGCACTATCACTAGATACGGAAAAAGAAGTTCTAAGGAGTGGGGAAAATGGAAAATTTTAGGAATAATAAAGCTAAAATTTTCAAAAAAATAAAAAGACCCAATAGTAGGGAATTTAAAAGGAGTACTGCGTAATATGTGTGCATGTATAAACATATGCAGCCCATGCTTATTATTAGCTTTACTCCTTTGAATAATAATTCATTCAGGAATTTAGGATTAATTTATTATCGCCAAATTTACTGCAAGGTTAATAAACATTGATATAAACAAATAAAAAAATATCTAAAAATATATTTTGATAAAAAATACTATACCACTTAATAGGGAATGCTGAAGAACAGCTTCCCATAAAGATCATTTACATTTCCTAATCCTTTCACTATAGTGAAAAAAAAAGCCCAAATAAACAACAAAAAAAATAGGAACCGTTAAAATAAGTCATACCGTACCTCTATTGGAACTGGCAAAGGTTTGTGAGGGCATAGAAACTCCGCCATAGTCCACCGATGGATCGCGCCCTTGTCGTTGACGGCGTCCTTGTGCGCGGGCTCCGATGGGGCTCCGCCTTTGAGTTTCTGCCGAAGGGGATGATAGGCAAAGTCATAAATCGACTGGTAAAGCCCCCCGGCGGCCCCGCGCGCGGGCTCCGCGCAGCTCCCGCCCTCGAGCACCTTAAAGAGCTCGTAGGTCCAGCGCGAGACCGCCGCGATGCCGAGGCGCCTGTCGTAATGCCCGGAGAAGCTGTCCTTGTCGGCATCGGAGGAGGCCAGGCAGACGACGTTCGGCGCCGTGATCGTCCGGCAAAGCTCGAGTGCCTTGCAGGTGTCGACGAGGAGGAGGACCTTCCGGTAGCGGCCTTGGGTGTGCATCATCGACAAGGCCTCCGAGAGGTCCGTCCCGGAGAGGTACTTGGCATCCTGGAATTTAAAATAGCCCTTGGCGGAGTGCCCGGTGAGGTAAATCAGGAGGTTGGAATGGGCATCCGTCCGAAGCCGGCGGGTCTCCGCCGTGGTCGCGTCGTATCGGCCCTGCAGGGTGTGTAAAAAGGCAGGGACGTCGACGTTGGTGGCGAAGAAATCCACCCGTGTGCAGGGATCGTACCAGTTTAGGATGTTGGGGTAATCCTCGAATTGGACTTTGAGGGCGCCGGCGTGGGGGTTCCTCGGGTCGCACGGCGTGCCATCGCTAAAAAAGAAAAGAATGTGATCGTCGTCGATGCCATGAGAGCGAACGAGGTTGTACACCCCAAGGGCGTTTAAGGTGTGCCGGTAATTGAAGTAATAACGCGCCCCGCCAAGGATGACGACCCAATTATTGATGGGATCATTCGGCGTCAGTGGGGGGGTCGGGCGAGGGGTCGGGGGGGGGTGGAATGTCGTTTGGGTCAAGAGTACAATTAAAGAGGATAGGAGCAATACGAAAATCAAACGTCGAACGAGAACGGGAGATTTTTTAAAGGATAATGTCATGGTGCTTTTCCTATCTCACACAAGCTGATAGGTATAAATATATATATACTTATATATATATTAATTTATACCGATAGATAGAGAGATATGTATGTGTATTCTTGTGACACTCACCCCTGACCAGATATACGTTTTACTGTATTAAAAAAAAAAAGTCTTTTTAAAGAATAAATAACAAAAAAAAATTAAAGAGAACAATATATAAAAATAAACATCAATATTATTTTGGGAGAGCAGATGGGTAGTTTGATGGAAAATAAAAAATTGTCATATTAAATAATTAACATACACAAAGACAAAAAGATGAGTTATAAAAGCACACGGTTGGTTCCCTCAGGTATCCTAAGAATATTCTAACCGCTGGTGTAAATAGGATGTTAAAAAGGAAAAGCAGAATTTTTATGACCCTTGACTCTATTGCTGCCCATACTATTTTACATTTCATATGTATATATATATATATTACTTTTTCTATATCTT